TTACTATGACCAAATGGAGAGCTGTGTTCTTGTTACTATATGGACTGCTGCGACCTGACATAAATTACCAAAGCTAAAGAAAAAAACTTTAGAGACAGTTTCCTCAGGTCTCTGCCCCTTTTGCACCATGTAATTCTTGATCACATTGAAGAACGTGCTCCATCAGAAGTCTAGGATAAATGGCTTCTGTGATGTTGGTCTTGATCGTCATAAATCTTTAGCTCAAATACATTATAGGCTTTATTTATTTATCTTACTATGTTTTCTATAGCTGACTAAAATAATAGTATGGCACATATTCAAATATGCAACTGTATTAATATTTCAGAGCAATGTGATTGAGGATGTTGTATTTGAAGACTTTTTCACTGATCATGAAGAAGAGTTAGAAGCTGAGCAAGATGGTCATGATTTCTATGATTATGGACTGGTGTGTATCACGGTACAATTTTTTTTAATGTAACACTAAAAATTAAGATTAGCAAAACAATTCATAGTTTGAAGATCTCGTCATAAGACTAAATATTTTTATGTAGCTGACTTCTAGAAACAGTTTTATGTTAGATATTTGTTCATTTTTTAATAGAAAATGCTAAATCTCACTTTTTGAAACTTGAGACTGTGCTTGGAAAGAGTCATTGCATATTTTAAAGATGCTTCTTATTTTGCATTATTATAGCATTAGGTGATGATTTAGGGGCGGGCCTGTGGTATAAATAACAGGCTTTGAGTAATATGACATCTCAGTGGAGCAGCTTACTGGATGTTCCACTATGCCCAGACATATAAAAAAACTGCAAGAGTCAAGAAGCAGAATAGGGGGAAAAAGATGTTTCCAAGTGTGTGAATTTTTTTTACCTAGAATTTAACTGAATGTAATATTAAAGGATAGGCAAACAATTCTATGCAGGTGATTTGCAAGTGAAAGATTGAAGTGTGGTTCTAAGCTGCAGTGTGGGTCTTTCCAGTTACAGAATCCTGACTGTCTCAAACACTGTTGATCTAGTTCGTGGAGGCAATGTAGGAAATCAGAGCTGTAGGCTCCACAGAGAACCTGAAGTGCCTCATGGTGGTGTTCAGTTGTATGTGTTTACATAGGGTTAACTATTTGAAGTGAATAGATCTGGGAAGTGGAAGTGGGTAAAAGCTTCCCCAAATCCCATGGGAAGTAAGCTGAAAATATTTCTCTGCCAGAGAATTTGAGGTACAACTGAGTATTCCTGTAGCTAAAACACAGCTGAAACCTTGGAACTGGCCGGCAATGTTGCTGAGACCTCCGCTGGAACTTAGGAAAACTAATGCATGAGTGAATGTATTTGCAGCCAGAAATGGGCAAACTGAGGCTAGCATATTATTACTGCAGCTGAGCCCCCAGGTATAATTTAGTGTTTGGAGGCACTGTTTTATATTAAAATTTAGGGCTTCATCTGCAAGTTTGGACTATTAGAGCGGTTAAGATCTGTTGGATAACGTGTTTCCTATTTGAAGGTGAAACATGCTGGGCAGGACATGCTTGCTTTTGTCCTTGAAAGAAGCTTTTTTAATAGTGACTATGGCTATCTGAGAATATGTCATTCAAGAGTATGTGACTTGTAGATGACATGGAAGTGGAACAAAAAGATAAATTTGATTATGATAAAGGAACACTTGCTGGTTTGAACATTTCTTGCAGGAGCTGGCTAGAAATAATGAGGAGAATCTTATTTAGTATGTCAAAAAGGGAGAATTCTGCGATCAGCTTTGCACATCTCCTACATCCTCTGGCAGCAGCAACTTAAAATAGTTATTTTGTGTTTGGCTAAAAACTGTTTGGAATTTTGTATCATGTTTGACTTCAGGCACAAAGATGTTATGGCTGTATATGTAACTATACACTGATTTAGAATTGTCCAGCAGAGATGAAAAGTGCTGGTAGTCCTTTGCCTACAGGTTGACTGAGCCATTAGATATAATAATTGGAAGTAATAAAGTCTGCAGTTACTAAAATATTATATTTTATTCCATGTTTACTTGTGGACCTATTGGGAATGTCTCTTTTACTGAAAAAGAAAACTGTTACTATGGTACAAGTAGGACTATTAAGAACAACAATTAAAAACAGATGAAGTGCATACAGATTCTCAGAAAGAAGTAATAGTCTCACTGGAAATTATGGTTGTGGTGATGTTGTGGCCAATTTTTTGTCTGGGATTCCAAAGATAGGAATGTGTGTGTGACTAATGTCATTTAAGGCAGAGTGAATATGACACTTTTAAGAAGTGTTTGGCTTAAAATATGTTCATTGGAAATACATCTCCATACATGCAGTAAATTCACTAGGTGTTCAACAGTATGGCTTATTCACAATGTTCTCTGAGATTGGAGCATCTACAGCACATACATAGAGTATGTCCACTGACTGTGCTTGCTCTTTAGCATTAATCTATATGAGTATGTTGAATGTGTCGCGGATTTTTGGACATCTGGCAGTAGAATGGGCTTAAGACATCCAGAAATCCAGACAAATGCAGTCCTTGCTTCACTCTGGCAAAGGTGTGGTTGTTTTTTTTGGTGAAAATGCAGATTTCTTTGGACATTAGCTCCGTTTTTGGCAGTCTCTGCTTTTAAAAGCAGAATGTATCTGAAAGCTCTATTCATGTTAGGCTCAGACTAATTCAGACTTATTTTACTTTTTGTTTTATCTATAGACAAAAAGTTTACTGAGAAGATGCCAATCCTTGCCCGATTTTCCTGACAGTGAGATCTCAGAGGTATTATTTTATATTTACTTGTATTTGTTCCTGAACTGTGATTTTGTGGAAGAAATTCTTCCACTGAACTGAATTGATCTTAATATTTTCCTATTAGATGCAAAAGTGAGAGTCTAAAAGGTCTTTTTCAAGTGGATTGGTTACATTAAATAGGAGAACATAGCTCTGCAGTGAAAACCCCTGTTAACTTTACAGGCATTTGGATAGAGATAAGTGTGAGTAGTCTGTACTCTAGCTAACCTGAAATGAGTGGAACAACATATCTGAGTAAAGATTTTGCGGTATCAGGTCCTTGGATTTCAGACACGTCAGGGCATCAGTGTTGTCAACTTTCCAATCTGTAAAGTGCTATGTACTTTTATGGCTATTGAAGTTATGTTAGCCGTTTCACAGCATACATAAAGCAGCAATAAACTGCAAATTTTACACTTGTGCAAAGATGACCTTGATAGCATTATACAAGTAATATTTTATTAACAAATTTGATTTTGAGTAAGACTTTGAGGAGTATGTATTTATTTAAAACTCCTTTATAGCCATAAAGACCTGCTTAAAATGTTGTGACTGTGTTATTTTAAAGACGGACATGAAAGATGGCAGCAGTTTGTATGCAATGATAAATAAAAAAATTTAAACACCAGATTTGCAATTTGAACTAAGCATTGATGCTTGATTCTTAAAATACTAGTTTCATGTTCAAATAGAAGTAGTCTTGTTGAACTCAGAAAGCAATCCTTTAGCAAAACTATGCACAGTTCATTAAAAGAATTTATCAAGTAACAATTCAATATTTATGCAATTTGCAGTCAAACTATTTGATCTGGTGATAAATGACAGCTAATGGTAGATACATGTAGTGATAAATGATAGCTTTACATTGAGTTTCAGCTTTTTAATAAATCAGTATGAAGCTTTTTTAAAAATATAATTTTCCTAAAGAAAAGCAGCATACTTGTGACATTGAGATTTTTTTAATCTTTTCAAAACTTCACAGGGTATAATGCATTACCACAAATAAAGAATGAAAGGTATTTAGTTACTTAAATGGAGTGCTTTAAATTATTATTAAAATAAACTAAAGGCTGATGCAGTGTCTTTCTAATAAATACATAAATTAAATAATTCTTAGCAGACATCTGTAACCAAGCATTGAAAAAGTGCTTCTTTGGGTCTAACGAAAAATTTTTCAAAATTATTCAATGCTTCATTTATTTTTTTCATTTATTTTATTTATTACTGACAAGTGTTTCCCTCTGTAAATTTCAGGCAGTGGGCATGAACTTGCATTTTAATTTCTTCGCCGAAGCTGTGTTATACCTAATATTATAGTGCAAGTTAGTGAACTGGGATTAACAAAAAGACTGAGAAGCAATACATTTGTTATTGCAAATAGTACTTGCTTAATAATTAATAACAATTAAACATCAGAGGATAACAATTATTCTTTTGGTTTTGATTTCGTTAGGTGATTCAGGGGTGGGGACACAAAGTATGAGAGTGCCTAATTCCATTCAGATATTAACTGTGTTTCCATATAATACAATTGTACTTCCAGACATTATACAGAGTCCTCCTGTCTCTTCTTCTGAGTTCATGAATATATCTCAGTTCATCTTTTTGTAAATGTCACCACCAGTGGCATACATTTTTGATTTTAAAATTTAACTTTCCTACAAGGACTGGGGGTATTTAATTCAAATTTCTTGTGATACTTTTTAGAGAAGATTGATTTTAGCCCTTTTTGAGCTTCAAAGAACTTTGAATTAATGTTTTAGATCTCTTTGCTTTGACACATATCCTGAGGTATGCAGATCTTTTTTCCCATTAAATACTCTAATTTTTCTTCAACAGTATAGTCCCCGTGTCGCTCTTTTTTTCTTTACAATTTTATATAAAATAAAATCCAGTCCATTAAAACTAAGGAAATGTGATATATAAATGAACATCTAAATAAATTAAGTTTCCTTTTTTAACAGACAAGTTTGATTAAAAGATCAGTCTCAGCTCTGGAGATGACTGCTTTCAAAGATGAAACTACGTTAAATATGTCAGCTAATTTCAAAACCAGCATGAAAGAGTTGAAGGTTATGAAGCAACAGATAGCTGAGCCAGAGGTTGAGACAGAGATCGGGAAAAGCTCCCCTACCAAGCATCTATTGAATCAAATCTGTGATGATCCTCAGTCAATGCAGACAGACATACCAGTAGAAAAAATGCGTACTTTGAGTGGACAAGAGGATACTGAGAATGACATTGTTCTTGTGGAGCGACCTCAAAAGGCTGGGATTAAACACACTGTTTTCCCAAGAAGAAAGAAAACAAAGAAATCAAAGAAAATAATAAACCCTAGAAAATTAGAAGCTGTGATTAAGAAATTAAGTCAACCCCCAAAGATTCTTAAAAGGTTTTCTTTAATTAATTTGTATTGCCTTTTTAAAGAATGTATTTTAATTTGTAGCCATGTTATCTAATTACAGGTTTTCTCTTTTTTAATATTAAATATTGCTCTGAAATTAAGTAATAATAGTTTGGTTATTTAGGAATAATGTACATTTTTTAATGCAAAGAAAAAATACATACTGCTCAGGTATCTTTAGGACATTTAGTATATACTGCACTTTAAATGGAAATGGTGTTGCTTCATGCAACAACAGAAAAAGTTTTATCTAAGTATAAATGCATGATTAAAATGGTCAGACTTCTTTCTTCTGAAAGACAAGGGGGAAATTCTAAGTGCTTAGGAAACTGAAATGCTAGGCTGGGCTAACCTCCTTTGTACCATGAACTTCACAGATTATATCAGACAAGTAGTTTGCTTTTTACCTTTTGTTTTCACGTACCACTCCAAATATTTTTCTAGTGAGTGTTTATGTACTTCAGATATGGGGTACCTTAGAAAATATTCAAGTATTAAAAAAAAAAAGAAAAGAAATTAACGTTCTTGCTAGTTTTTTGACATTTCTTAAATACTTATGCTTGAAGTGTCACCTGCAAAAAACCCCTGAATGTTGTCTGTTTTTTGTGTACAGTCATATGTGTCCACATTGTACTTACACTGATGCTCAGGCCTGGTCCTTCAGGCCAGTTTTCCATTCAGCTGCTTTTTTCTGCTTTTAGGCACCTTTCAGTAGGTTTATTCTTAAGAAAATCAAAGATACTTAAATGGTGTGATATACTGGTATAGTGAGCTGTGACTAAGGGAGAAAGTGGCCTTTTTCCAAAGTCTTGTTTTAGACAGGGGTACCGTATGTTCTTTGTCTAAGGCTTTTGTATCAGTTTTGCTAAACCAAGGGGATTTCATCTTTGCGCTATTTTGCATGTCATTCATGCATGGGCCTGCTACATTTTTTATTTAATTTCCCTTTTTTGTTCTAGTAGGATCCTTATGTATAAAATATTATAAAAATTAGGTACATAGTATTATAAATACATATGTATAAAATATTTTCTCTGTATTCCCTTCTGATATTTTCTTCTGTGTTAGCAAGGCTAGTATTTTTTGTGATAAAGTGTTTCTGTAAAGACTTCTGTTTCTTTCACTTTGACGTCTCAAAGCAGATGTTGATATTGAATATTTGTGAAGGTTCTCATCTTGGAGCTATGAATTTTCCCAGATTATCATTTTGGAAATGTCCTTGTAAATTCAAGTGCTTTTTTTCACCTCTGGGTGGTGCTTCTTCTGCTTATATTCTCATGGCCTCTTCCTAATACCACTGGAATCTAGCATTGATATATTCATCCATCTAGGATTTATCATCATTTAGCCAGGCTGGTAATTGTCCACTCTGAGATACTGTACTTAGGTTTAGCATTGTCCTTGTAAACCTAAGTTAGAAGCTTTTGGAGGAAAGAAGCATGCAACTGCAAATAAGCGCTGAACATTCTGGGGACGTGGATCATTCGGAACAATTCTGCTTACCTGCAGCTTCAATAATGGTTTTTGATAAATGGCTGATAAGTTAAAAAATTATCATTAACAAGAGAGCTAACAATAGGTTTTTGAATAGTTGTTGACTGGCAGATTGCAATTTGATATTGTTAATATATCTGGGAACCTTTAGTTAATTTCAGTATATTTTTCCTTAGGTCTGTGTCTCTGGAAAGGCTTCCTATTAATGATAAATTCAGTATCAAGGTGTCTTCAGCAATCAAACAATATCAGAGCCCCAGCATCCCTTGTTTGTTAGATTTTGAAAAGTTTGCAAAAGTGAGGGGTGGAATTCCAAAAGAAACTTCTGCTCGCATGTGGGCCAGTGGAATATGGAACTGCTGGTTTGATGAAACTTTCCCTCCTAGAGGGACTGCTTCTGAGGAGAAGGATACTGGATTACTAAAAGGAACCGGAACGGTGGACTCTCAAGAAGCAAATCTACAAATAGAACTAGTTGACTCAATACAGCCTGTTCTTCTTGAAGGTGCAACAGTTAGTATTGAAGATTTAGAAAAAGAAGTAAGACAACTGACTGAGCTAATAGAAAAGGAAGAGCATCCTTCAGCTTTTCACTACTGCAGGCGCGGAGCAATACAAAGAAAGTTAGGCAAGTTAAAGTCAGCTATGGATGACTTGGAAAAAGTAAGTTTAATGCCAAGTTTTACTTCTGTCAAGCACCCTTTTTTTTTTTAACTGAGTGTCTGAATTCTTCAACAGGTGAAGAACTAGAAGCAGGAGAGCTGATAACTAGCTGAATGCTGCCACCTTTTACCTTTGTATGACAGCATGATCCAAGTTTAGTCCTGCAAGAATGAAGATGCAGGCTCTTAATAAACTGTGTTTGTTTACCCTAGTGTTCTCCAAGCACCATAATGTTTCTCTGGAGACCCTTGCTCAGGATACAATACTCCTAAATGGAGTTGGAGATAGGATAGACAAAAAGGACAGAAAGTGTTTTGCTTCAAGTTTTGCTGCTGGCAAGCTGACAAATATATTTTCAATTTCTGCAAAAGCATAGTAAGCAAATAAATTGAAAAGTCATGTATTTCCTGTTTGTAATTAAACTATCATTTGACACTAAGATTTTTATACAATAATACTAGTGTTTTTCTATGTATGTTTATTTTTTCAACACTTTTAAAGTTCCCTTTATAGTGCTACAAACCTGCCATTACTTCTGCCCAAGACCCTGCACAACTAGAAAGAAACAACCAAAACAGAATAAAAAAAATTGCTGAAAGAACAGAAATGAAAAGAATATTTTTAAAGTCTATAATTTAAATGTGGAAGCTGTAAAAACTTTCAAAGGCATTCTTTAAACAATGGTATAGTTCTGTATGCTTGTGAAACCTGGGTAGAGAAGTCATGTGTTGTGCTTTCGGTATGGTATTTTCATTGTCATTTAACATCTATATTACACACAGCTAGTCATAACCAGGTTGGGACCCCAAAGTACTTCATCCTATATATGACGTCGTACAGCAAAAGATGTCCTCCTTTCCTTAACCAACATCTTGGCTCTTAACACAGCATTTGGTGTTTGGAGAAGCAATCCTCAGAAGCTGCTTTGGGGGGTTCATGATCCTTGTACTGGAGTGCTTGATAATGCAAGATTGAACCAGATCTTTTGTGTTGATATTGCTCTCTGGCAGTAGAACACCATCAATCTGCCAGTGTCCCTGAAAACAGGCTTAACAACAGGCACCTTTAAATAATATAAATAGCATTTCTTTTGCTAAAATGCAAAGCTCAGTTGGCTGGAATATTTGGAAATGTGTAGAGGAATGAAACAATGAAGTACAAAACAGCTTGGCTTCATGTTGGTTTCTGAATTCCTTTCAGCTAACAGTCTCAAGCCACAGTAGACTTTAAGGAGGCTCACAGTGTGTCCTGCAGTGAGATCCACCCTTCATATTTTACTCTATTTCTAGAGTTTGCTTTTCCCAAAACGCATATTGTCTTAGGGTGAAATTTCCTTTTATAACACCATTTCTGTTAATGCTTCTCTTGGGGATAAATCTATATTTTTTTTTTATTTTTAATGGGACATAGGTACCTATTTTATGCACCTGCAATCTGTACCTATTACCTTCCAAACTTCATAAATTATCTGACCAGAAAATTGACTATATTCATAGAAACTCAATGATTATCTTGTGTCTTTTTTTATTTACCCCAAACTTTAGAAACAGACTGTCAAGGATCTGAAAGGCTAAAAATTCCACACCCTGGCAAAGTGGTTCATTAACCAATGGGCTGATGTCAACTGACAAAATTGCTTGCCATTGCTATTGCATACTTTAGTGAAAACATTATTGACTTTGCTCTTTAAGATATATGAACACAATTCCTATGTAGTTTATGGATCCTAGAAATAGTTTATAGACCAAAATTTGAGAATTACTGTTGTAGCAGAAAAGTCTTAGATTTGTATCAGTCTCTATATTTCCATGTGGCTGTTAAGTGTGTGTTATAATGAACATATGTGAAATATCTTATTTGATTGATAATATCTGTCAAGTGATTTTTGTTAGGGGATGTTAGGTGCTTTCTATAGGAATCATAACAGCATGGTTTGAAAAGCTGATTCCTTTTTCACAGGGGCAGGTTAATTCTTACTTTCAGATAGAAGAATTCTGACTTCTAGAAATAGTTCAGATAACTATTTTAAAGAAATCATCAAACATGGTAATATCCCAGCTGATTAATATTTTGTGCTGAATATTCTGGTAGCTTGGCCTCTGATTCTGCATATGTGTAAGTACATGATGCTGTTAAATAAACAAGTGACATTAGTAAAATTTTTCAGATTTTTAGGTTAAATAGAAGTTTGTCAGTCTAGGAATTTTCTGAAAAAAATAATTTCAGTCCAAAAATTTTCTCATTTCCTATGTCCTATTGTTAGCACACTTGAGAAGTTCCTTCTGCAATATAAGTTATTTACTTATTTTATTTATAGGCTATAAGCTTAGAACCACTACTGCTTAATGCTTACTGGCATAGACATTTGATTTACCTCTTTCAAGACAGAATTTCTGCTGCTTTGGATGACCTGAAATTTATAACTAAATGGAGCAAAAATAAAGCAGGTAAGTATCTACTGAAGTATAACTTAACAGTTAATTTTTCATAGTGTTTTTTCTCTAGTTGCCTTTGGCCCTAGTTCTGCAAATGTTTTTGTATGTATTTAAACTTACATCAGTTGTTTTAACCATATTATAAAAAGATTATAAAGCAGACATGAATCTTCAAGGGCTTGGGACAGAAGTTGCGTTTCTAAGGCAAAAATAAGTACTTCATTTTAGTGTGTGTTTAAAAAGAAAAAAAAAAAGGAGGACTCATGGAAATTGTATCCATTAACTTAATGGGGAAAGCTGATAACAATCCTGTAATGGAGACAGTGTGCTATTGTGCTTCAGTCAGCCCTGTTCTGCCATACCCTTTAAACTGGGAAGGAGGAGCTTAAAAGGGAAAGATACCACCTGGTTGACAGACCAGGCTCTGCAGGTCAGGGAAAGTGATTCCCCTCAGCCAGGTTGTGATGCTGCACCTCCAATACTTTGTCCAGTTTTGGAACCCCTGGTATAAGAGAGAGAAGCTGGAGAGAGTCTATTGGAAAGCCATTAAGATGGTCAGGGGTCTGGAGCCTAAGCTGTAGAAGGAAAGGCTGAGAGAGATGAGTGAGTGAGCCTGGAGAAGGTAAGGCTAAGAGGGAAATCTGTTCTCAGCTGCATAATGGGTGGCAGCAGGGAAGACAGAATCAGACTCTTCCGAGAGATGCACAGCAAAACAGGAGGCAATGGTCACAGGTTGCAACAAAGGAAATTTTAATTGGACATGGACTTGGAAGACACTCCCCCCCCTCCTCCTTCCTCTACCCCTGTTTTCTTTTGTTGCTGAGCATGACATTATATGGTATGGAATATCCCCTTGGCCTACTTAAGTCAGCTGTCCCAGATATATGTCCCTTCCCAACTTCTTGCCCACCCCTAACCTACACGCTGTGGAGCGGGCAGAGTGGGGGGAATAAAGAAATAAATAAGTAAAGCCTTGACAGTGTGCAAGCATTGTTCAGCAAGAGCTAAAACGTTGTGTAATCCACACTGTTTTAGCCACAAATCCGAAACACAGCACCGTATGGGTGGTTATAAAAAAAGTTAGCTCTATCCTGACCGGACCCAACACAGTGGAATAAATATTGTGTGGGCCCATTTGAACTAAATCTCTTTATATTTGTTTGTGATCAACAGGTCTACACTAAATTGCTTGATGGGCCATTTCTGCAGAGCTCTACAGAGAGCAAAGATTTTTAGTACCTGTGAATCCAGCAAGAGCTATCAGTTTACAGCTGCATGAGCTCCACGATTGAGCACACAGCCATAGCTCTAAACTTTTGAGTTCTGTTGCTCAGATTAAAGCAGAACTTTCCAACCTTTTGTATAATCTACTGTTCTATTTCTACTGCTCCTGTTAATTACCCTGTAAGGAGGAGATGACATTGTTTTGCGCTGCTAAATAGTGCCTTTTATATTTTGGGTGGTTGTTTCAGATACATACCTGTCAATGGCTGAAATTTACAGGAAACAGGGTGATAATACATTGGCAATCATCAATTATAGCTCTGCGATACAGTGCAGCCCTACAGATGATGACATTTATTTTAGAAGAGCTGAGTTGTATTTTGAGGAAAATCAATTGTTATTGGCCATGGATGATTATGCCAAAGTAAGTTCACTTTTTTGTATTGTTACAATAATGTAGTAACTTTTGTGTAACTTCAGTAAAAGTAAACTGTATTTGGATATATCTGGCAAGTAGCTTGGAGAATGGATATCCTTTCAAATAAATGATGTTTAAAAAAAAAATCAGTGCTATGGAAATAAATAAGTAATTTTCTGTTACTCTTGCCGGCTAATCCAATATATTACTGAATGTCTACAAATTATCAGCCACTAGTAAGCTTGCATCGCTACTTTTTTTATTTCACTTTACAGTTAATGGAAATGACAATAGACATTAAAGGACAAAGGAATAAAAAAGAAAATCTAAGAATAAAAGAATATATTATTTTTATGCTTGGTTAAGACTTTTAATCGTTAGAAATAATAAGAATGAAGAATAACATCACGTACTACTTTTTTTTCATTATAGTGTTTTCAGTATAACCCAAAAAGGACGGATGCACTTATGAAACATGGAATACACTTCTTTGACTGTTCAGTTTTGACTGCAGCTATTCAGGATTTTACAGCTGTGATCAAGGAAGACCCCAGCAATGCTCAGGCGAGGTAGGATATATAGTTTGACAAGAGAATTTGAATTTTAAGTGGATTATTAAAATAATATTAATATGTAAAAGACTGAATATGCATTAAACAATAATAAAGCAATTGCTTTTCCAAAGAGGTGTCTAATAGAAACAGAATAAGACTTCTAGGCCTTGATATTCATTGGGGAATCTTTGTATGACTTTAATGACTTTGGATTAGTCCCTAGACCTTAATTTAGCTAAGCACAGAACCACATGCTCAGATCCCACTGGACTAATGCAAATATAGAGTCAGTTGGACTTAAGCACGTGCATATGTGCTTTGCTCTAAAGAGCTGCATTTAAATACATGCTCAAAGTGAAGAATGTCCTTAAGGATTACATAGTTCTATGCCTAATTTCCATTGGTTGCCTTGACGCTTCTAGTTTTAACACTATGCTAGGTTAATGTTTTCTGTGAAAAATTTGACTTATGAATGAGAAGCATCTTTATTTTTGAATTATAACGATGATTTTTAGGTTTGACTTACAAAGATTGAAAAAAAATTATATGACTTCCCTACTAGAAAATGTGATATTAAAAATATCATTCCTGCAAAGATTTATATTCTTCTTATACTCTATTCCGGATTCATGAAAACAGATGTAAAATAAAAATAAAAGCAGATATCCAATACCAGAGTATGATACCTGAATTTAGATGTCAGCTTGCTGTATCCATGGGATGTAGGTGTCTGAGCAGCCATTATCACCAAGGACTCTAATCAATACAGTTAGTAGACTGAATATAGACTATTCTATAAAGCCTGGAGAGCTGTTCAGCTAAACAGCCAGTAAGTGTATATTTTTGGATAAACTGAATTGCTCTCATCTCCTTGGATTATATTGACTAGATCTTCATTAACTGTAATGGAAAGTCAGACACCTAACATATGTTGTAGACATCTACAAATAGAGACCTAAGTTCAGATGTCTTATTCTGGAACTGATTCCCATCCAAACTGAATAGAAATGGCCTGGGAAGGATTCCCCCATGTGTATCTTCTACTTGTCAGTCATCTCCATCACAGGGAACCACAGAATCATGCAAAGCTTTCTTATGACATTAGGTTCCTGTCCTACTAAAGTAATTTACAGATGCTTCTTAAAACTCTGACTTTGAAATAAAATCTTGAAGCAACATAAAGCTGCATTTGGCTTCCTGAAACCCACTAGTTCATTGAGGCTCACACGTTGATGTGTGGGCTCTGTGAATAGTCCTAGTGTGTATGATTAGTTTTTGTGTAGAGTTAAATTCTTGAGGAATTGACTTTACTGTGTTAGACTGAAAAAGGAATGGTATATATTTTGCATGATAACTCTGCATAGAAGTGGGATGTGGCATAAGACCTGCTTAATAAGTGAAAGTTATCTTCAGCAATACAAAAATGTTTTATATATTATGTTTTGCATTGATAAAATAATTTTACAGCCATTGCTGTCTATTCATGCTTTTTCACCTGTGCTTATGATTTATCTTGTTTAAATATATTGCTAGCTTCCTGAATCTGAGGGAGGACTAGTGTAAAATAGTAGGATCTGATTTTGTAAACTTGTCTGTTTGAAAGAAATATTGAAGAATAGAATAGATGTTTTCAGAAAGCTTTTAATAGTAATGAGGGCAGTTTTATATTTTTTCTTTTAAATCAGATTTAACAAAATCTGGTATTTCCCATACAGAAACTGCTGCACCAATAGACTATGGAACTTGGAGAGAGTTCAGTTCAACTCTGTGATGCCCAAAGCTCATATGGGGTTCTAGTATATTGAACCTGATTTATGCAAGTGCAGTGATCTACCTATATGGTACAGATTACCGGACTTTGTTCCTTCAGACTTGCTTTATTAAATTCAGAAAGAAAATTGAATGTTTGTTCTATATTTTAACTTTTTTTTCTGAATAATTACTTCAAGATTGCATGACAAAAACAATGGAAGAACTCTTGATATTGTTGACTCAACCTGTTAATATTATAAATAATAGTCTATGACTTCACACTATGACTTCATTCTGTAGGTATAATTTTCTAAGGGAAATGATGTTTAAAGAGAAACTTTCTTCCCTATTAGGTTGTATCGAGGAAGAGCATATGCGAAGCAGCAGCAGTATAGAAATGCAATACAAGACTTAGCAGCAGCGGTTCACCTAGACCCTTCTTGTTGGTTAGCATTCTACTATAGAGGTTGCATGCTACGACAGATTGATCCAAAAAGAGCTGTGCAGGACTTAAGTGTTTCTGGTATTGTTTGTTTCTTTTAATGGTGTGTATGTTTATCACGGTCATTCAACCATTCACCAGTAATTACTATACTGCAATATAACACAGATATTTCATGTTGCAAATATTGAAATGTATGATTGTTGTTCAGTGTTTGGTAATAACTTGCTCCTTTTCATTTCTGTTAAGTTTGCTATTAGACATTGACTCTTGCTGCTGTTTTTCTTCAGTTATTTTGCCTCTGCTTCTTAAGCTTTTCTGCTTCACTTTTAACAATTCGAGTGGGTGTAACTGAGAATTATAAATGTCTTGAAGGTATTTCATGCCATAATGAACAGTTTCTGTTATGATCTAATATGTTATGGTTTATCTATGATATTTTATAAAACTCTAAGAAAACTAGAGGAAAAAGTAATGTACAAATAAGTTGCACGGAGAAACTGAAATATATGTGAATATCTGAACAGTTGATTTTTGTTCTTCCTCTCCCACAGTACTCATCAATGACACTCAGGAAAATTTCTGTTCTTTTCTTCATCGTGGGATTGTTTACTCAGAACAGTGTCAATGGTCACTTGCAATCTGTGACTTTGAAAGCGTCCTAGCTTTGGACAGGTGATTGGACTTGGGAATTTTAATATATGTTGTTTTATATTCTGATTACCTGGGGGCATAAAAGTACTAGTAAAGGAAAGTAGAATCAGAAATGTTATTTGGGAAATAGACTGGAATTAACCTACACAAAACCATAATGTTTTCTTGTTTTAGTATCTTTTGCCTCATTTACTATAGTCTGAGTATAATAAAAATAATTATTAATGTATGTCAAAAATTTTATTTTGCTTTACATGGCAACTTGGCAAATAAATTACTCAGGTTTGGCAGACAAAAGATGAAACTGAAGTCATAATTAAAGTTGCCATAATAATTTCATTAGTCTTTTCGGAGGGAGTCTGTCCACAATGCAGGTAAAAAGTAAAACTTTTTTTTCCCCAAAAGAAAATGCTACAATGTTTTCTTTAGCAAAAGCCAGTAAATGGTGTCCCTGAAATTAAAAAAAAAAAAAAAAAAATGCTGTTTATGGTCCTAGGTAGTTGGTGATTGAACATGATGTGGTTTCTCTGAATCGCATTTCTTCCTGCCACTTAAAAATACTTCAGAAACAGATTATATCTGTAGCAGCCCTGCCATGCAAACAGTCTTACAATATGCAACAAGCCTCCCGTACTAGTTAGCTGCATTAATTACCTTACTCTAAAGGTACTGAGTTCTTGTTCAGCCTTGGGCAACCTCAAGAGTCCTGTCTTGAGCAAAGGCTTCCATTCCAATCTGTGGCAGGCCTAAAGACCCCTCAGCTCTTCCTTTGTCTTGGCTCTGCTCTAGGAAGTCTTGAACTTTGCCTAGAAACAGTCTGTAAGAGTGGGCTGCACAAGATATTGCAGATCTTGGAAACCCAGGTCTCCCTAGCAGCTAGCCAAGTGAAATGACAGAAAATAAGGGAGCAGGCTAGATGGAAAACATGTAAACTTTGTCAGTCTTTTAAAACTACATGTGTTTTTAATGTTGAAGAATTCAGTATTTCTCGGTGTATTCAGTATATACAAAATTACCAGCTAGCTCTATTTCTAGTCCAGCTTCTACAACAGAGACTTGTCATAATTTCTTCACAATTCACATTTGGAGTGCTGCTTTTGGTGATCAGAGATCCTCTAGTGTGCAGCCAAACTTCACGAGCCACTGAAATTGTGTTTTTTAATGAGCTATCTCCTCTGCTGGCAATTACAATTCTTTAGCTCAGTGTGATCACAAAATAGATGTGTGGTTAATGTCATAAAAGTAGATGAAGCCCGTATAAGTTGTGGTTAATACAATGACATATTTCATGCAATAACAAAAGGGAAAAAAAATCTGTTTTTAGCTCCGTCATCTTTGCTTACCTAAATATTGGTTTGATACTGCTGTTGCATCTTGATCAATACTATGAAGCTATTCGACAATTTACTAATGCCATTGAAATTGATCCTCTCAATGTTCAAGCCTATGTGTGCAGAGCGCAAGCATATCATAAGGTAATACATTCCTTTTGCTTTTATTTGCCACTTAATATAGCTTTTTTTTAATATTTATGGCTGTTGTGAGTATTTTAATACTTATGCCTTGATGTTATACAGATGTTAGAACCTGCTTATAGCTGTAAGTTTCAAGTAGTCCTTGTCACCATAATAGAATTACGTACTGTCATGGTTTAACCTCAGTTGGCAACTGAGCACCACACAGCTGCTTCCTCTCTCCCCCCGACCCGGTGGGATGGGGGAGAGAATTGGAAGAGCACAAGTGACAAAAACTCGTGGGTTGAGATAAAAACAGTTTAATAATTGAAATAAAATGATAATAATAATATGATAATAATAATAATAATACACAAAGCAAGTGATGCACAGTACAGTTTCTCACCACCCACCGACCGATGCCCAGCCAGTCCCCAAGCAGTGGCCCCCCGGCCAGCTTCCCCCAGTTTATGTACTGAGCAGGATGTCACATGGTATGGAAAGTTTCTCTGGCCAGTTTGGTTGTGCCCCCTCTCAGCTTCTTGTGCACCACCAGCCTTCTCAGTCAGTAGAGCATGGAAAACTAGAAAGTCCTTGGCCAGTGTAAGCACTACCTAGCAACAACTAAAACATCGGTGCGTTATCAACTTTGTTCTCCTCCTAAATCCAAAACACAGCACTGTACCAGCTACTAGGAAGGAAATTAACTCTATCCCTGCTGAAACCAGGACATATACATTGCAGTTGTAAAATATTGTTGGCATGTAATGCAATGATACGAAATATTTCAAGTGTCATTTTATCTTTTTTACATCAGTGTACATCTACTCTGAGCTTTAATAAATTTTTTGGAAATAGATTTCAAAAATATTTTTAAAAATATCTATTTTTAAAATATAAACCCCCACATTTTGAAATAGTGTTTTCTAAACAGAAGGTTCTTGAGAATACTCACTTTTCAGGAAATTCAAATTTTCTTCCACACAAATGGGAGTGAAAACATTTTCAATATTTTAATTTACTGTAAAACAGAATATCCTTCTACTGCTGCATGGAATTTGAGATTAGTTTCTGCTAGCAGTTGTTTTTCTGAGACCCTCTCAGGAGTACGAGGAATGGAGTATTCAATGTGACCTAATTTCTGTAGATTTCATTGGCAGAATTCAAACAACTGTTGTGTCTCACAGTGCTTAGTTTGTTTTCAAAATGTTTTGAGAAATTGCTTATGCTGTTCATTTTCTTCCACACCTAAAGGAAATGGCTTTTAACTCAGAGTCCATCTAAGTGGATTGATGATATTCTTTTTTTTTTTTGATACTGTCTTTAAGAACTTGTGCCTGATAGTTTATATTGGAGGTTATCCACTAATGCTCAGGTTGCTTTTGTAGGGTTTTTTGTTGGTTTTTTTTTGGGGGGGTGGGTTGGCTTTTTTTTTAAATTTCAATGCAAAGCAGTAAAATAAAGCTCAGTACATGCATTCCATCAATGCTGTTCTTTAATGAGAGTTCGAGTTAGCAGCTATCCCAGCTGGATGAATCAGCCCTTGGGATCTTCACTGTAATGATCTCCTTTCTCCTCAGCATGTGAAGCACACTGAATGTGACCACGTGCACAGACACTTGAAAAATAAATGCAAATTCATTACAGCAATGAAGATTCATCAGGACATACGTGCATGTGGATCTCGTGATCTAATCTCCTTCCCAATAGTCCAGACTCTTCTTTGGATTTTAGAAAAGTAAAGAAACTGTCTGGAGTTTGGATCTGCCCTGTGGGAGAGTATGGAAGTATGTAGGGCAAATGTTTTAGGCCTTTATTAAAACATGTTGAGGTCCTTTACAGAGGGCGTATGTGCCTTGTGAATTATTACCATGTGGGCATTACATCCTGCATAACTGCATTTACAGAAATAGTAATTGTGTCTCCAAATTGTGTTCATATTAGCAATTAAATTGCTGTTTTTTCTTTATAAATTACAGATTCATAATTTACCAAATGCTGTGAAGGATATAAACAGAGCCATTCATCTTTATCCAAATAAATCACAACTTTGCATATTAAGGTAGGAAAGTGATTAGTTGAGCACTTCACAGATATCTCACTTTAAAAAAAAAAATTCCATTTGGAATGCTGTTGGTAGATACCCCTGTATTCTTTGAAACCTGCTCTGAATGGGTTTTAAAAAAATGTCTTATTTTCATAGTGTTTTCAAACATGAAGAACTTTATTTGCATAGTGTATTGTAATCATTACCCTAGATGGAGGAACCTTGTTTTTTATACAGGATTCTGCTCTTTGAGGTACATATAGTTTCCGGGGAAAAGGAATTAAATAGGTGCCATAACAAAAAAGCAAGTCTGAACTTTTAAAAAATTAATAATTTTAAATGTTTTCCGCAAGTGGATGGGTCCTTCACTGATTTGTCTGCAGAATCCACATAATGCAAAGAATGTGAAGGATTGAGTCCAGGCCAATTTAGATTTGAACTATTTTTCTTCCCCATCTTCAGCCCAGTGAGAAGTAGTGACCTTTACCAAGACTAAAAAAAAAATTACTATATAAAACTGTTTCCTCCCCTGAAAATCTGTAAGAACTAAGGAAGAAATGCTAGGATATTATTCCTCAGGTGTATTAGGAGAATTAGTTATTATGTTCCAGTCAATAATACCATATTTTCCCAGTTTTAAGAGTGGGTTTGCTCAGCTTGTCTGAGTGTGGTTTGGCTAGCATGACCTATTATACTGATGCCAATATCTGAAGAGGCAAAAAATTGTCCTTGGAAACAATGTATCTATCAGCTATCAGTCTGTGGTGGATTTTAGAAACATTATTAAGATTATTATTGCAGTTCTTGAGATTGTAAGGATTACTATCTGTGGAATCCAAAGAAAATGTCTTTTTGTAACTCCTATGATCTGAAGAGAGGTAAGCATATAATTTCTTGGTACTGTGATGTGAGAGAAAAAATTAAAAATGCGACAGATATTTCTGAAGGGGAAAAAAAAAAGGAAAAACTCTGGATGTTTTTATTGGAAGGCATTATTTTTCCTTTTTCTCTTTTTATACTAATGAAAACATATGTCAGTAGTATTTGCTCTTTGAAAGAAATGCCTGGAAATAGTTCTACTAATCACATCCAACAAATATTTCATTACAGGGGACAGTATTTAATGGAGTTGAAGAAATATGAGCTGGCAAGTTTATGTATTCACCAACTTGCAGAAATGGATGAAGGTAACGTCAATTTCCATCAATTTTCCTAGATAGTTGTGAACCATAGCAACAGTCTGTAACCAAGGAATTGTTAAAAAAAAATAAATTCAAGCATGCAAATCAGTTAGTTACCATGAATCAGCTAAAATATAGGAACTTATTATCTAGAGTATTTTGATTGCATGTCTGAAGCCTTTAAAGGTAATAATGGTGTACACTATTGCCTGTACTATCACCTGTGATTTCAGAATTTCCTTTATGTTTTGAGTTCTTCTTTTTTATTTCTACCTTTCAATATCGGTAATTTCTGCTTTAAAGGAATATTGAGTAAGGATTCTGTTCTGTACTTATGTACAGCCTTTCCTAACAAAATATCAAATAGCTTTAGAACTGAACCTTCCCAGTGCATTCGAACAGTAAAAATGTTGCAGTATAGTAGTTCCTTGTTATATGCTGGGCATAAAATGGCAGTGTTCAATGCGTCCTAAAGCTCTTGGTGAATCCATATGAATAGCCATACTGTATGAGATTAAATTCCTGTCTCTGGTAGTGACCAAGAGTGGATACACAGGGCACAAGAACATAAAAACAAAGCAGGCATATGGTGATACTTCCACAGAGCAAAGCCTTCTTAGATGTGGTGAGAGGAAGGTAAATATTTGCAGGTGTTTAGCAGTCAAACCACACTCATTGATAAATAACTGTTCAACTTCAGACTTTTGTAGGAATTTAGTTTACATTTTTATTTTTATGGATGTTAAAACAAGCTTTGATACTCCAAATATTTTAATAGCATTTTAAAGTTTGCATATCATTTAAAGGTATTTTACACTGGAAAACATATAGGTTGAAGTAAAAGAGATTGTTTTTCATGATGGTTTCCTTCCAGAATCCTTTATGGCTCAGCCTGTTCAGCAAGCGCTCATTCAGTCATTTTGTCAAAATCACAATAAGGCCATAGAGTGCTTACGTGAAGCTACTGCAACTCAACCTGAGCCTTCAATGTTTGTTATTTTAGGAAAAATACAAATGAAAGCCAAGAAAACTAAGGTTAGAAAAGTTTACTTTATATCTATGCCAAGCAAGACAATGTTCTTCTTTCTGTGTTCTTTTAATATTTTGAAATGTGCTAGTATATAAATAAACCTTCAGAGTACCTCATTGTTTAAATTATAAGAAGACCTGATTAAGAATTTTCAACAGCAGCACTAATAGTTCAGCATAAATTAGGCAATTTTAGTTTTAAAACATTTAAGATGATCGATTAAAAGATACAATTATGTAGACTGAGGTCCACTAGATGTAATAATTTTGCTTCTTTTGAAATAAAATAATACAGAAGTATGCCTAGCATTTATGTCTAATAAAATGCAGTACAAAAGTTTAATTAATGTATGTGAACTGAATATGTAATGTATAGTTACGGGTATTTTCTCAACTTCATGAATATTCATATGTCAAGGGTTTAACCAATATTGTCACTCCTCTGAGTCCCGCAGTTAGCCAATATTTGAGGCCTGCAGAATTGTTGAAATTGGCAGTATGGATTAGCTGTTTCTTTTTGTACAGTCCTTTGTTTGTACAAAATGTAGAGCCCTGTTTCCCTAAACACAATAGCAGCAAGCAACAGGTAGATTCATAAAACTTTGAATCTACCTATCTATTGAGTTCTGTATTTGAAATGCACAGTCTTTCTCTTTCCTCTTAGCCTCGCGTTTGCAGATTCTTTTTAAATGAAAAGGTGTGCACTTTGCAAAAATTATACTCCTGCTCCCTGGGCTTGTACTGGATAAAACCTCTTGATCCATTCAACTTTTTTCATTAGGCTTGGGTATTTTATTTGTCTCAAACCATAATGGGACATTGCTAGTTCTGCTGTCTTTGAAAGAATGCTAAGTCAAAGACGGTGATTGTTAGTACGCTCCAATTCAACCCATTTCAGTTGTCATGGTTAAGAGGATGTGTATTAGTCATTCCCTGATACTCTCAATATGGGAAAATGATTAGACTTCAGGCTATAGTGTCCTGAGAATCAGCCGTGCCTTTAGAATTATATGTAAGTGAATTCAGGTATCTACAGTTCTTTTTCCTCTTAAAATAAGAGTATTTTTGAATGTAGGAAGAAAATGATCTCTGTCCCAGATGAAACCAGGACAAATTCTTTTACTCTTCTTGATATTGGAACTTTCAACTGTGGTCCCTTCATAATCCTCAAAGGCTGAGGAATGGCTTACCTTGAACTGTTAATTTTTTGGTTGTTTTCCTTACACTCTCTTTTAAACCAAATCATTATTAAATGTGCATAAATTATTGCCCAGATCTATGAGACATGGTAAGATTCTGAGAGGCTGTCCTGGTTTTGGCAGGGATAGAGTTAATTTCCTTCCTAGTAGCTGGTACAGTGCTGTGTTCTGGAGGTAGTATGAGAATAATGTTGCTAACACACCGATGCTTTAGTCGTTGCTAAGTGTTGCTTACACTAGTCAAGGACTTTTCAGCTTCCCATGCTCTACCGACTGAGAAGGCTGGGGGTGCACAAGAAGCCAGGAGGGGGCACAGCCAGGACAGCTGACCCAAACTGGCCAAAGGGACATTCCATACCATGTGATGTCATGCTCAGTACATAAACTGGGGGAAAGCTGGCCGGGGGGGCCGCTGCTGGGGGATTGGCTGGGCATCAGTTGGCGGGTGGTGAGCAATTGCATTGTGCATCTCTTGCTTTGTATATTCTTTTATTATTATTGTTATTATTACTATATTATTTTATTTCAATTGTTAAACTGTTTTTATCTCAACCCATGAGTTTTCCTCACTTCTACTCTTCCAATTCTCTCCACAACCCACCAGGGGGCGGGGAGTGAGCGAGGGGCTGCGTGGTGCTCAGTTGCTGACTGAGGTTAAACCACGACAGAGGCTATTCACTTAAGTTCCTTCAATGCCTATACAGGATCGATCCTTTCAATATATTTCTTAATGGTTATTAAATTTAGTAAGTTGTCTATGGAATAAATAGTTTGTCATTATTTACATAATGAAGTGCTTGCTACAGGTTTCTTTATTGTCAGACTCCATCAAAAAGTATGCCTTTTCTTCCTGAAGAAATAAATATAAATAAAATTAATAAATAATTATAATTAACTATGTACCTAAATAACAGTATAAATGAACTGTATGTTATTTCTAGATCATGTACATTACCTACTTTGTCATATATAAATAAAACTCAGGACTACTTATCTATTTTTCTAATCAGTTATTATTATGAACCATTCAGAGATCAAGAGTGTGTCTAACTCCAGCAACATCAAGGAACACTAGACTAGTCATTTTTACCATAATGTTCCAAAGAAAGACCAAGAAAAAAACATTTAAAAATAATTTAAAATGTCTAACAAATCTTGCAGATTTTCAGTTAAGTGCTTTACAAGTATTAATATTCTCCGTATTGCAGGATGCTCTGAGAAGTTTTAAAAAAGCTATGAAGCTCCTTATGACCTCTGCAAAAATCCCGCCTAATACATTTGAGGCTGCAGAAATGTATTATCTCACAGGCCTGTGTTACATGGAGCAAAAAAGTTTATTACGGGTTGGTATTAATTGTATAGAATATGTTAGCCCTTGACTCCACAGCTTGTAAACAACAACTGTGATAACTGAGTGAATGATTTCAATCTTTTAAACAGCCCCCACTGCCTTTAGCAATTTTCTTTTGAATTAATGATGTACATTAGACTGTCTTGCGAGTTTGAGTGATTTTTCCAGTGCTAATGTTAAGATTTTTTTAATGTATGTCATTAATTGCCATTCTGATGAAATAAAAAACTACATGAATTTCTTATCTGTTTATCAATGCCTTCACAGATCTTAGACAAACAACACTCATGTAGGAGTATCAGTGGCTTAGTGAATTGGTAGTAAACTTGGACAAAGGAATTCCTAGATTATTGTATTATGGAGTTGGTTGTAATTCAGCTGTTTTCTATATTACTGTAGCTCATAACACTCCTAGCTGGTTCTCTTTGGCACTTATGTATGATACTTAAGAAATAAACTGCATTACCTAAGAAAAATGTATTTTCCTTCTTTCAACAAAATCAATACTTTAAACTGCATTAGAGACCTCTTTGTTGAAAACTATTGAATGCCTATCAGTGAGCTTTGTGGCAGGCCTAGTGTGAGTTCATGCAAATGTTTTCTGTGTTGATATTTTAATAAATAAATAATAAATAAATGAATAAATATGTTTCGGTTGTTGATTTGCTAAAAGGCTCAAGACAGAAACTAGAAACACTTGAAATATCAGAATTTCACAGGGAAGAGAACAATTTCTTGCCTTTTCTGCTTCCAACCCCATTTTTCAAAAGTGATGTTGTTTTGGAAGAAGGCTGTCAAAATTGTCTAAAATACCTAATGTGGTAATACATGACAGTTGCAAAAGGTGACTTTCCGTGTCAATGTACATCTGATATTACAGCTGTAGAGCCTGGAAAAGCCCAAGACTTTGTAATGTATAATGTAGAGGAAAAAACTATCTGGATGGATTTTAAAGGAGTTGCATACTAGCCATGTTAATCCATTGTCCGTTATAACAAACAACTTCATTATTTCAGCTATGACAGAGAGAAGACCATGTGCTTGGTTAAACTTTTGCAGTCTCACTGAAGAAATTATATTAAATGAGTTAGATTGTGCCTCCTTGTGCTTATGATTGCATTAGGTAGGGTGTTAAACATTACAGAATTTTAAGTAGCAGTAAATGGATGAAAGTGATAAAAACCAATGCAGGTACATGGTGGGTTCCAACTGCAAAAATAGGTAATACCTAACTGTAGAAAAGAATCAGTTAGCCTATGGTTTCAGCTGAACAAACAGACCATATTTAACCCAGATGATATGTCATCCTTTTAGGCCCGTGATGCTTTTAGTATGGCTATCAGACTACATTCAAGTTACCCTGATGCTTTTTATCAGCGAGGGCTGTGTAGAATGCAGCTCAGACAAGCTAAGTGCATCCGAGATTTCAATCGAGCACTTGCCCTTTGTCCATCACATTTCCAGGTAATATAAAGACTCCTGATAGTTTGTTTCTGTGAGGCATTTTTGGATGGGTTCAAAGACTGACAGGTTTTGCATTTATGGGTGTATTGCCTTGTAATCTGCCAGCAAGCACATGGCAAGCATTAAATAAAAGAAATTACAAGCTTTGTATGATGTAAGTTTTTATAAACCTGTGATTTCTGTCTTCTATTTAACCCTTTTTTTATAATGCTAACCAAAGCTCATTTTTTACCATGTCATCATTCTGTCTTCATCTCTACAGGCATATATGAGTCGTGCTGCTTACTACAGAAGTAAAGGTAGATACTCTAAGGCAATTCTGAATTGCAATGAGGCGATCAAAATTCTTCCTAACAGTGAGCGAGCTTATTTTTACCGAGGAACTTTAAAGTATCAAAATAAGGTGGGACTGTCTTTATTGTTGTACTTTTGCATTCTCCCTTAAAACTTAATGTATCTTACTTGACACTTTAGAATGGTGAAATAATGGTAAAAGTGTTGCTGATGGAAACCAGGACTTCCACTTGATTGTTATACTTTTCATTCCCCATTGAAGCTACTCTCTGGTTGTTCTATGTAACTGAAAATGATTGATGGGTTGGAGAAGCTACTGAGCATCTATCTGGTTATTCTCCTTTTAAGCTCCACAGAATAGATTCTTACCTAGTGATAGACAGAAGTACCAAAACTCCACAAAAGATACCTTCTATGTTAGGTTAAGAGAGAAAATGTAAGGGTTGATTATGTGTTGCAGTGTATGGATGTGAAGTAACAAAACACTAAGAATGTTTTTTTGCCCAGTCTTTGCACAAATAGAGCTTCTGAAGAAATGCCCCCACTGCAGTAAGGACTGCAGTAAGTAGTCCATAGAGGACACAGTGAAATGGTTGGATGCCTTCCAGTACTGATGAAGAACCAAAATGTAAAACTATGAAATAAAATTTTAAAATAGGCTATTATTTGAGGAAGAATATGTAGTGCCACGAACTCTGAATTACAATTTATACATAGTGTTTTTTCATTTGTAGACATTTAGAGCTGCAATTGAAGATCTCTCAAAAAGTATTGACCTCAACAAAACCTGCATTTTGGCATATTATAACAGAGCCATCTGTTATCATCAAATAAAGGACTTCAGAAAGGTATGGTATTAATTTTTTTTCAACATCAGATGAGCACTCAGTTCATATTAGCTAGTAACCTGTTATTGACAATTAGTCAAAATTTCTGACCTCTTGCAATGTCTTCCTGAATGATTGTGCTCTCCAGGAAATTGTTTTTAAAAAATGACCTTTTGGTCTTTACTATCGTATTAATTACATTTGATATCCCTTTGAAAATATAAGAACGATATCCAGAAGACGACTACATCAAAACAGGGATTTGGGCTACACCCAGCCCTCATTCACAGCCCTGTTCTTCTGGATGTGTGTATACTTCTGTCAACTTGCCTGTGAGCTGCCTCTGAGTGTTTCTGCTTTCTACCTTTGTTATAAAGCAAAGGCACAACAGGGCACACAAAGGCGCCATGCAGCTTCAGACTGGGAACACAATCATGTCGAACTGTCTTTTTGATGAGGCCTATTTTCTGAGACAGGGCTAGTTACTAAGTATTTGAGCTCGGATGTCTCAAGTCAAATCGACCTTGGGCAAAGGCCATTTGTGCTTAGAGATTAATTGGCGAAGAATGATGCAGATGGATAAAGAAAAATAAGTGATTACAGTAACTGAAGGTAAAAGTTTAAGATGTGAAAATGATAGTTCCTTCATAAATAAGGTATTATAAAAGTTGTTCTTTACTATCACTTTTCAGAAAAGCCACTTAAAGTACAAGGGAAGTTGCAGAAAAAATGTAGTATATTATTGACGGAAGAAATTTACTAGATCTAATAAGAACTGGATTGTTCTCTTTAAAGCTGTTTCTAATATCTAGCTTAGTTTAGAAGTGAAGAATAGAAATTCTCTCAAGTGGCTAGCTTATGGAGTACTGCAATCAAGGATGTTTTTGTCATACTAGCTCTAAACTGATGTGGTTTAACCTCAGTCAGCAACTGAGCACCACACAGCTGCTCACTCACTCCCCCCCTGTCCCACTGGGACAGGGGAGAGAATTGGAAGAGTGAAAGTGAGAAAACTCATGGGTTGAGATAAAACCAGTTTAATAATTGAAATATAATAATAATAATACACAAAGCAAGTGATGCACAATGCAATTGCTCACCACCTGCCAACTGATGCCCAGCCAATCCCTCAGCAGCGGCCCCCTGGCCAGCTTTCCCCCAGTTTATGTACTGAGCATGACATCACATGGTATGGAATGTCCCTTTGGCCAGTTTGGGTCAGCTGTCCTGGCTGTGCCCCCTCCCGGCTTCTTGTGCACCCCCAGCCTTCTCAGTCGGTAGAGCATGGGAAGCTGAAAAGTCCTTGACTCTAGTGTAAGCACTACCTAGCAACAACTAAAACGTCAGTGTGTTATCAACATTATTCTCATACTACCTCCAGAACACAGCACTGTACCAGGTACTAGGAAGAAAATGAATTCTATCCTTGCCGAAACCAGGACAACTGACTAGTTATTCTTAAGTATAGTATATAAGTTCATTCTTTAGGTGAAAAAAGAGTTGGGCTAGAACTTCTTCAGAACAAGCATTGTTGAAACACTGTTCAGTTTTGATAAATTTGGGAATTGAGGCTTCTTCAGTCTATCTAGTGGTGTCACTATTTGCTCTTTTACAAAATTTACACCCAAATTTAGTTAATACAACTAGTGCTTAGCTTTTTCAGTAACAGTAAATTATATTTGAAGATACTTAATTTTGAAAGAACCTTACTTTGACATTAATTCATACCTAATTAATCTAGAATAATTTGTTGTTTTTTTAAATAAGAATTTGGACATAAAATTTAGCAGCAGAAGTAATAAAGATTTATTTTTAACTCTGAAACTTATATAATGACAAAATAAGTTTTAATTGCATCTATTTAATATATTTACATTATCTTTACTTCTGTACTCTAGGAATGGGTATCTGTGTAATTATAGAAGGCTCCAAATTCAGTTAAATTCAACCTGGAAACAGTGCAACATTGGAATAGCCATACTGAAGTCCATGCATATGCACATGATTTGTAGGAATTTGAAAGCATATCTTTTAAATTTTCAAGTATCACTGTATCCCTCTGAATAAATTATGGTTTAAAATACATTTTATGTTTTTGTAGGCTTTGAAAGATTATGGAATTCTTCTTCTGCTTGAATTGAGTAAGGAAATAGGTTTTAAAGTGTTAATTAATCGTGGACTGCTCTACATGGAACTTGGCGATTATGCTAATGCATGTGAGGTACAAAATCCTTTTTTGAGTAAAGGAAATTTAGAGTTTTCTGTTAAATGTAAGCCATTGCTGATATAAAGACCATCTTGACAGTTTTTATATTATTCTGAAAAAGTTTGTGCCCAGTTCTCATTTGCTCAACACCTAATGCCAGTCTGGCTGTGAAGATGCAAATAAAATGCAGTTTTACTTGTTTTACAGTTTTATGCTGCTGGAGTTAAACACGGGAGTTGCACAAAATTTAATAAGCAAGAACCTGATTTTTCCTTCTTTTTTAATCTTGAAATAATTTATGTTGGGTCCAAATGAGTACTAATTTATTGCGGAAGCCTAAGTAAATGGAGGTTCTGATTGAGTGGCCTTGTTCTGTTCCTCTCTGTGTGCGTGCATGTGTGTGTAAATTACCATTTTTGTTGAAAGGGTAGGAAGGGTCCGACCTCAAGATAATTTTCTTAAATATAAGAAAATAATATGTGTTTCTGACACTGACTCACAGTGCAGATGACTCGCTCATTCCATGGAACTCCATCTGGTATAGCAATAGCAGGCTTGAAACCTAACAGTGTTAAACATTACTGTTTCACACACACAGGTTTTCATTTTTGAATTTTAAATAGTTTTAAAGTTTTCTAAAAGTTTTAGTTTTTTTAAAAGCAGAGGTGTTTAGTTTCAGTATAACTGGTGCATTCATTGCTTCCATTGTGGACTAGTAACTTTAAAATATTTTATCATCTTCTTTATGTGATAGCAACAATTTCAGAATAGGCATTCTAAAAATTGAGTAATATTTCTTATTTGCAAATAAAAAATGAAGAATGAATGCAAATACCATTCCAATGACCCAGAAATGTCCTATTGGAAGTGCACAACAAAAGCTCTTTACAGTTGGTAGACCTTGCATAGAAATAATTTAAGTAGAAATATTGTGTTATTGGTCTCATGCTTCAAGATGCAATTGATCAGAATAGTTCAGAAAAGAGGCTAAGGTGGTACAAACTGATATGTAAGGATGGTAGAAAGAGACTGGGGCAGAACCAGCAGGATGAGCAAAAAGTTCTTTGAATGAACTGTAGCGAAGACAAATTTACAAAATGGTAACTGAACAACAGACACAAAAATATAGCAGCTAATTTAAGAAAAATATCAGTGATTATAAATATGCTTAAGACCTTCTTATGTATCAGTTCTGATAGTATTTTATTGCAAGGAGTATATCTGTATACATGTATAGTGCCGGTTGAATTAGGATATAATTATTTAAGCACAGATACCTACTACTTGAAGTGAGTGTATTCCTGAATTGGGTACACTGGAAGAAAAAGGAAAAGTTACAATTCAGTGTCTATAAGATCTGAATTGCTATATAGAGGTGTCTTTTCCTGTTGGTTCAGTGAAGTGTGCGGTTACCAGTGAGGATAGCACCTTTGGTTTAAGTAAACCAAACCTGGTCCTTGGAACTTTGATCCTGCTTTTGCTCTGCTCCATACACAGAACAGAGTGTATACTTCAAATTGTGCACATGAAGAATCCCATTAGCTTTGCTGGGTATTCTTTGAAAGGCTTTGCTGGATGGGAACAGTGTGTCTCAGTAGTTTTTTAAAAACAGACCTATAATTTTATGAAAGTGTGTTCACCAAAAGAGAGGTTTTATTTTAACACAATATAAATATATGTATCTGCACATCATTATTTTGCCACTTTTGTAATTCCAACAGTACTAAAATCTTCCACATCTTTTTATTTTTACAATTTGGACAAGTAAAAGATGCTTTCTAAGTTCTAGTTCAGTGGATGCATCAGCTAAACCACTCCTACTACATACTGATTGCTTTCCTATGCAGAAGCCTAAAGTGCTTCCTTACATCATAATTGAAATGATTGTATTTGATTTTAAAAGCACCTGTAAAGTTTTTACAATTGAACCACATATATCAAAACCACAAGTGTTTTGAAAAATGTTCTGAATGTTAGTAAAAGACAAAAGACAAAAGCCCTATGGCATCTTTCACTGGAACACTGTGCATAGAACCTCCCAATGCAAATATGAGTTTGGTTTACTGCACTTGTCAAAGTAATAACAGAAAGGAACGAAATAATTTTATTACTGGAAGAATTCTATTGAAATTGCATATAGCAAAATATATTTTCAATATATATGTATTTAATAATAGCAGCTGAGGTACAGTATTTCTATGAAAAACAAACGAAAAATACCTTTCTGGAAGGTTTTGTTTCTGGAAATGTTGCCTCCAGCTTTGTAGGAAATACCATGATACCACATAACTTTAGAGATTTTATTCTATCAAAGTCTGGGACAAGAAGTATGAAAACAGTTAAATACATCTCCAGTATATAATAAGCATATAATGCCTTTGTCAGAAGTCATCTCCCTTTTTATATAGAAGTATAAAATTGTTTAGCTAAACCCACAGTTGTAGGTGAAGTGAAACAGTATCAGTTTGCATGGTTTAACATCTGTTCTTTTCAGGACTTTAAAGAAGCAACGTTGCTTAGTCCAGATGATAGCCAGATCTTTCAAGCTATTGGAATCTGCTATCATAGGTAAGATACGTAGTTTTGTTTTATGGAGAGTAGAAAAATGAAATAAATCCTGAGCTTTATATTCCTGTTCACCTTTTCATATTGAGTACACTGAGAACTGGGGGAGGGGAGAATGGTAAAGAGGAATGGAAAAAAGCAAGTTAGATATTTTTCAAGTTTAACAACTGGTATTAAAATCTTTTGGTATCAAGCAACTATGTGTTCGTGACAGCATCAGGAGGAAATACTAGGATGATAAAACAGAACCAAGAGAAGGTCTGAAGAACAAAGAATTATGAGATAAACAGGGTTGGGTTGGTTTGTTCAAAATTAGTTAGGATGCAATTTCCGTTTAAATATGCAATTTGTCCTTTAAAGAAAGGCAAAAACATCAATGGTCTTCCTTGCCTGAATTTTTTATTTGGAAATTCTAAAGTGTAGTTTCATCAAGATGAGATTTATTTAGAAAGACTAAATTAAATCTGTTAACCACTTAAAGTAGATATAAATTGGAATAAATAAGATGTGCATTAGTATCTTAGTCTACTTATCATAGCGGCACTTGGAGTTGATAGGTGATATTTGTGTGAAATAGGAGCTATGATAAAAAGGAAATTTTAATAGCTATCTGCCTATTAGTCTAGTCTATTTTATTCTACAGTTACTCTGCCATCTATCACTGCTTAACCTTGTTGCTGCTGAGGCAGTGTGGAGGTGGACATATTCAAGATTGTAGCATCAGATCATCTTGTGTTGCTATGCTTGTAGTTAGGGCATAACTGCCTCCATCTTTCACAGTGTTTGGATGATGTAGAACTCACACAGGAATGCTGAATCCTGCTTCTAAGAACTGAGCATATGATTTTGGTGCCCGTGTCTGTATTCAGCTGTCGAGGAGTCACTAGTAACTGTATAACTCAGCTGTATAACCCTTTTTAAGATGCATTTGGGATCCATCCTGCAGTCTCTAACCTCGTGACTGCCTATCAACAGGATTGGAATGAAGCTCTAATTTGTTTTTGCAACATGTTGTGCTTTTAAAAAGCATTTGGTTTATAACCCTTAAAGTTATTTGTTAGCTAAATATATTTAATCTTTCCTCTTTTGGTAAAGAAGTCAGGCTGTTCTTCAGGTAGATGTGTCTACCTTCAAGTAGCTTATATTCAAACTATATGTTATTTTTCAGTATCATCTTGGTAAAATGATTTTGTACTTTGACATGTTAAAGTTTTTGCCTTATGTGTAAAGATACTTACTAGCATTCATTGACATTTCAAGTATTTAATCCTTTTTATTCCTATTCAGTATATCTCAAATGCGTCAAGTTTTATCTCAGGATGGAGTTCCACATTTGGCTTACTCTTAGACCAGAATGGTCTATGCTTAGAACCCTGAATATTGTCTCTTTTTATCCTGCAAGTTTGGATAAGTTCAAGAATTGCTAGGAGATTCTTGTAGAGAAGGCATGTATTAGAAATAAATTATTTATGGCTGAAACATCTGTGCCTGAACAGACTACCAAAACCAAGTTTGGTCATGACATTTGGACAGCACGAGTGACTCATGAAGTCTTTCTGTTGAGTACAACTGTTGAAAAGGAGAAGTCTTTGGCCCAGCAAAAGTTAATGAGAGTTTTGCTGTTTCCTTCCTCAGGCCAAGAAACTCAAACTGAAGTCTGCAAGGTCTTACACTGACTACCTTCACTGTTATAACCATCAGGGAGCACATACAGAAAGCAAACCTAAGCAAAAAAAAAAGTGTCCCTTTCAGTCAGAATTGAACTACTTTCAGTGGGCATTATAGGGTAGTATTTGCTGATCTTTCATAAATTGAGAATTTTATTTACAGCATTTTTAAACAGCAAACATGAATATCTCTATTTTTAGACTTAATGAGTTTGAAGAAGCTGTAAGATCATTTGACCAGGTTCTCAAACTAGATCCTGTTTCTGTGGATGCCTACGTTGGACGAGGAAATTCGTACATGGAAAACGGACATGAGGCTGGTTGTAAACAAGCACAGAAAGATTTCTTGAGAGCAGTTCACCTGAATCCAAAGTGTATAAAAGCCAGAATTTGCTTAGGATACAACTTGCAGGTAACACACCAGAATTCATTGTCAATGCTATGTTTAATCAAACAAAATAACATCAATCTTATATGCATACATTTATATAATATATAAAATAATCATAATAAACATAATCCATGTACTTCAGACAAGCCTTATGGCATCTTTTTAAGTAAATGGATAGACCATTGTTTTCTTTTCACTTTTGTGCGCAATCTTGTTGCAGTTCTGTTCTTGAATAATGGAATGTCAAGTAACTTTACACTCGTTTGATTTGCTTATATGGCTCTCTGATAAACTAACATTAAGAACTGGCATGTTCTGTGTGTATGAGCTGTTTACTGAAGTAAAAAGCAGCCAAAGTGTTGACAAATCTGTGTAAAACAAAATCTTGTATGTCCTAATTATCCAAACTACACTGTTAGCAAATCTGCTAAAATCCCTTGGTAAAGGCCTTATATATAATCATCTCTGAAAACTACTTACCTACATAGAAAATGAATTTCTATATTAGTAAAGGCATATATGATATGACTTGACAGTTTTTGTCTGTGTCTAATTTCTGTCATTTAGTTACTGTGCTCTGTTGTATCCAGTTGTCTGAAATGTCTTGAATTGTCATGAATCTTGTTGTGAATTATTTTTTGCCAATGTAAATGTTAGTAGCCTGTGTCAGGTAGTCTTGCACAGGTGTCACGCAAATTTCCTTTTACAGCTTTGCCAATTCACTTAAATTCTAACTAATGCTTTCACAGTGCTTTGGGAAGTACTGTGCAAGAGAAAAACCTGGAGTGACTACATTGGTGAGTAAGCAGGAATAAGATGTAGGTAGAAATCAGACATCTTGGGTACAGGAGGCAACCCAGAAAGTTCACGTAGTGGCAGGTGCTTAATTTCTGAGAGGCCTAAATCTCACTAGATGCCTTCTCTTAAGCCTTAGTATACCTTTTGGGGCTTAAACATAGACTCATGTGGAGAAGTATTTTGATGTGGGGAACTAGATGATTTGCCTTCCAGCTTTGCTTAATTAATATGTATATTAGGTAAAATGTAAATATTAGGTAAAATTAGGACCACTTTGCCTGTGGTCCCAAGTGGCCTACTTGCCTTTCTTGACTGTGTTAAGTCCTTCAAAAGGTAGAGTATACGAGAGTTCCATTTGACCATCCAGGGGAGGTACTTTTGCTGAACAACCTAATTGTTTAATTTTATTGCTATGTGAAGTCCAATATATAAGTCTTCAGGTCACAAGCTCATATATAGCCCATCAAGAGTTGAATCTGGTGAGGGACATGAAGGTCAAGAAGAAAGGCTTCTACAAGTACATCAGTAGAAAAAGGAAAACTAGGGAAAATATGGGCCTGTTGCTGAATGTGACTAGGGATACGGTGACAAAGGACATGCAGAAGTACTCAATGCCTTCTTCACCTTGGTCTTTACTGGTAAGACTGGCTTTCTGGAATCCCAAGTCCCTGTGACCAGTGGAAAAGTCCAGAGCAAGGAAGACTTACCCTTGGTGGAGGAGGATCAGGTTAGGGAACATTTAAACAAAATGGACATACACAAGTCCATGGGACCTAATGAAATACACCCACAAGTGCTGAGGAGCTAGCCAACATCACTGTAAGGCCACTCTCAATTATCTTTGAAAGGTCATAGCAATTGGTAGAGGTTCCTGAAGACCAGAAAAAAGTAAATGTCACTCCTATCTTCAAGAATGGCAAGAAGTAGGATTTGGGGAACTACAGGCATGTCAGCCTCACTTCAATCCCTGGAAGGGTGATGAAGCAAATAATTCTTGAAACTATTTTTAAACACATGAAGGACAAGAAGGTGATTGGAGTAGCCCGCATGAGTTTATGAAGGAGAAATTATGCTTAATCAACCTGTTAGTTTTCTATGATGAGATGACTAGCTTGATGAATGAGAGGGGAGCAGTGAATGTTGTCTATCTCAACTTTAGCAAAGCTTTCAGTAGTCTTTCATAAGGTCTTCATAGAAAACCTGGTGAAGTATGGTCTAGATAAGTGGACAGTGAGGTGAAATGAAAACTGGTTGAACTGTCAGGGTCAAAGGTTCATTATTATTGCCATAAAGTCCAGTGTACTAGTGAAGTACACTCAGGGGTCAGTAATGGGTCCAATACTGTTTAACATCTTAATTAATGACCTGGGTGATGGAGTAGAGTGCACCTTCAGCAAGTTTGCAAATGATACAAAACTGGGAGGAGTGATTGATACACCACATGGTTGTGCTGCCATTTAGAGGGATGATGGGCTGGGCAGCCTGGAGAAATGGCAAACAGGAACCTCATGAAGTACAACAAAGGAAAGTGAGAAGTTCTGCATCTAGGGAGGAATAATGTCATGCACCACTACGAGCTGGGAGCTGACTGGCTGAAAAGCAGCTTTGCAGAAAAGGACTTGGGGATCCTGATGGACAACAAGCTGAAGTTGTCAGTGATGTGTCCTTGCAGTAAAGAAGGCCAATGATACCCTGGGCTATGTTAGGAGCAACATTGCCAGAAGGTCGAGGGCGATGATACTTCTCCTCTACTCAGTACTGGTGAGGCCACATCTGGAGTACTGTGTCCAGTTCTGGGCATTCCAGTACATGAACATACTGGCGCTCATCCAGCGAAGGGCCACTAAGATGATTAAGGGCCTGAAGCATCTGTCATATAAGCAGAAAGGAAAGAGAGATGAAGGCTTAAGGGGGAATCTTATAAATAAGTATAAATATCTAATGAAGGAGTATAAATAAAGTGGAGCCAGGCTCTTCTTAATGATGCACAGTGACAGGAAAGGAGGCAATGGGCACAAACTGAAATACAGGAAAGCCATTTAAACATCAGGAAACTTTTTTTTTACTGTGAGGATGATCAAACACTGGAACAGATTGTGCACAGAGGTTGTTGCGTCTCCATCCTTGAAGATATTAAAAATCTAACTGTACATGGTCCTGGGCAACCTGCTCCAGCTGACCCTGCTATGAGCAGGGGGTTGGCCTAGACGATCTTCAGAGATCCCTTCCATACTCAACCATTCTGTGATTCTATGATGTAGAAGAATTAATACTTGCAGTTAAAACAGATGTGACAGACACATTACATAGTTGCAAAGACAATGAGTATTGCATAATTAACAAGATATTTGAATTCATTTTTTCTGTAATCTAGTTAACTGCATTTGTAAATACAAGCATGCTTCCATTCTCTGCTGGAATTATTTAAGTGGGACCATTAGTATGTTTGGCATTTCTTATGTTTCTTACTGTGGACACGTTGCAATTCATTTTAGGCCCTTGGAAAGCTTCAGAGAGCATGGAACCAATTTACAGTTGCCATTTGCATTGATCCAAAATGCCATGCTGCATATGATGGACGAGCTTCAGTCTGTCTTCAGATGGGTGAAACTTTTGCTGCATTTCAAGATATAAATGCCGCACTAAAGGTAGATCTTAGCTTAAAATGAGTTTACTAAAATCAATCTGTTGCTATGAAGCCAGCCAGTACTGTACATTAATAGTTGCCAATTTGGATTAGAAGGTGCAATTCTTTTTTTTTTTTAAAGTAAATGTATCTTTGAAAACCAGAATAAATTACTGTAGAAGTGTAAACTTTCCCTGAGTAAGAATGCATCTACGTTTTACTTTCAGCTCACTACCACTGCTCCGCTGCTAACAAATCGGGGTGTCATCAATCAGTTAATGGGATATCTACCCTGTGCCATGAAAGACTATCAACAAGCAATTTCTGTTGACCCAAACTATGCATTAGCCTATTTCAATGCAGCAAATATCTACTTCCACAATCGACAGTTTTCACAGGTAAGCCTACAGTCTGTCTTTATACTGTCTTCAGAACTTTTTTCTTTGAATAAATACTGTTGGTATAAAGCTGTCTTAAGTATAATTAACATGAAGCTTTCTTCCATTGAATTTCATGGTCCTCTACCAGGAGATGAATTAATCTGTAGTAATTAATAATAAATAATTGCCCGACTACTATGTATTTTGTCATTGATATGAATGAACTAAGATTCATGACAGCTAGGATACACATCACAAAAATTTGTATATAATTGAGATACCAAAATCCCACTGATGTTCAGTAACTTCCCCCTGAGCCTAACTCCCATACATTAACTTGCCCAGATTCACTATAGCACCATGACAAGGAGAATGAAAAGAATGTCCTGCTGATGAACTTTAATCAAGAAGTCAGTTTCCTCCTGTTACCACAGTAACTTTGGAGTTTTAAATCACCTAATTCTGCCTAAATACGATGTGTATCTTCAAATACAGAAGAGTTAGATACTGAAATTCCTCTTGAGAGAGAATTTCAAATCTGCTTGAAGGCAAGGACCATTTATTTTTCTCTGTGTGAGGAGGCCCCTGCAATGATTTTTCTTTTCGTCTTCCAGTCACACTTCCTGGACATAGGCTCAGGCTTTTATTTGATTGGAGCTTTGTGATCCAGCAGCTGTGGAATTCCAGAATCAGCATGAATGCTTCTGCACATTTCATCTACTTGAATTAATTCTCTCCTAGAGTTGCATCTGTAAACACTTCAGCTTGCAGTGCACTTATTAAGGAATTCATCATGAATGGAAATATTAAGGAATTCCGGCTGAACATGAGCCGGCAGTGTGCACAGGCAGCTAAGAAGGCCAATGGCATCCTGGCCTGTATCAGAAATAGTGTGGCCAGCAGGAGCAGGGAAGTGATAGTGCCCCTGTACTCGGCACTGGTGCGGCCGCACCTCGAATACTGTGTTCAGTTTTGGGCCCCTCACTACAAGAAGGATGTTGAGATGTTGGAACGTGTCCAGAGAAGGGCAACGAGGCTGGTGAGGGGTCTGGAGAACAAGCCTTATGAGGAGCGGCTGAGGGAGCTGGGGTTGTTTAGCCTGGAGAAAAGGAGGCTGAGGGGAGACCTCAGTGCTCTCTACAACTACCTGAAAGGAGGTTGTAGCGAGGTGGGTGTCGGTCTCTTCTCCCAAGTAACTGGCGAAAGGACGAGAGGAAATGGCCTCAAGTTGCGCCAGGGGAGGTTTAGATTGGATGTAAGGAAAAATTTCTTTACTGAAAGAGTAGTTAAACATTGGAACAGGCTGCCCAGGGAAGTGGTTGAGTCACCATCCCTGGAGGTATTTAAAAGACGTGTAGATGAGGCGCTTAGGGACATGGTTTAGTGGGCATGGTGTTGTTGGGTTGATGGTTGGACTCGATGATCTTAGAGGTCTCTTCCAACCTTAATGATTCTATGATTCTATGTATAGTACAGGCTTGGCATATGATTTTAAACCTAGATTGTAATTCATATAGCACAAGAAGTAGATCATGTAAGAAAAACATTTAATGTTCTTATATGTTTCTCTAAGTTAGATTCCTTGTTGCTCTTGAGCATTAGTTAGACTTGGATCAGAAATTCCTTAGGAGTCCAAGGTCAGTACCCTGCATATGGCTGCTTCTGTGATCATGTAGTCTCTTTTCTTATGCATCTGGTGGTATTTTTCCACGACTGGTCTTGCATTGGCTGTTCTTCCTCTTTACTGTGTTTCTGTGACTCCTTACTGTCTCACAGAGGCAGTCTAATTATGAAGAGAGAAGTTCAAGAAAAGGTGTTGCATTATAAACTATTTTCTATGTTAATTCAAATTTGCCTTAGTATGTAGCTTATTTCTTCTGCTATAATTACAATTCAGCATAAACAGCTGTTATTTTCCAAAAGCCTGTCTGGGTGGTGACTGACCTGTTTGTGGATAAACATGCTAGTGCTGTGTCTCTTTTCTGTACATAAAGAATGCTGAACAGAACGAGTAAAGACTTAAGAATACTAATGGCTTAAAGAAACAAACTGGAATTTACAAGTTGTACGTAAGCCATTTCCTCAAATTTTAACAGTGTACTTTGTCTCCAATTCATGTGTTTTGTAGGCCTATTGCTATTATTCCAAGGTATTACAACTTGACCCAAGAAATGAATCTGCTGTTATGAATCGTGCTATCACAAATACATTACTAAACAATATCGAAGAAGCAAAAGAAGACTTTGAGAAGGCAATTTGTCTCTGCCCATTCTCTGCAGCAGTGTATTTTAACAGGGCAAATTTCTATAACGGATTGAAGCAATATGAACTAGCTGAAAAAGACATTTCAACAGGTAATCTTTATCCACCTGTCATGATTTTTGTTTGGTAGCATACTAACAATTATGATAACAATTGTGGTATGGAATGGTAGGATACAGGCTCTTTAGGAAGGACATGCAGGGGAGATGAGGAGGGGGTGTTGCCTTCTGTCCATGACCAGCTGGAGTGCATGGAGCTCTGCCTGGGGATGGATGAGGAACCGATTGGCAGCTTATGGGTCAGGATTAAAGGGAGGGCAGGGACAGGTGACATTATAGTGGGGGTCTGCTACAAGCCACCCGACCAGGAAGACTGAGCGGATGGCCCTCTATAGATAGATAAGAGCAGCCTCATGTTCACAAGCCCTGGTCCTCATGGGGCACTTCAACCACCCTGATATCTGTTGGAGGGACAACAATGCAGGGCATAAGCAATCTGGGAGGTTCCTGGAATGCATCGATGATAACTTCCTTCTCCAAGTGATAGAGGAGCCAAGGAGAGATGCTATGCTGGACCTTGTTCTCACCAAAAAGGAGGGGCTGGTGGGGAATGTGAATCTCAAGGGCAGCCTGGGCTGCAGTGACCACGAAATGGTGGAGTTCAAGATCCTTAGGGCACCGAGGAGGGCGCACAGCAAGCTCACTACCCTGGTCTTCAGGAGAGCAGACTTGGGCCTCTTCAGGGATCTGCTTGGTAGAGTGCCATGGGACAAAGCCCTGGAGGGAAGAGGGGCCCAAGAAAGCTGGGTAATATTCAAGGATCACCTCCTTCAAGCTCAGGAGCGATGCATCCCAACAAAGAGGAAGTCAGGCAAAAACGCCA